GAAAAGTACATTTATAACTGCAGGTTGTGCTACAGCCAATGTATCATACTGCTCAGATGCTAATTCCTTATATGTTAAAGCCTATTAATTATTCATGTACTTTAAAAAAATAGCAGCTGTTAATTCAGTAAAATTGTAAATGACAAGGAGACCTACTAATTGCTGTCAAATTTATTAGAAATGTCTATGCTATGATGGACTATCTTGCATCTTCCTGTTCATTAACATTTGTGCCCTATGAGACAAACATGGTGTCTCAAACATATCATTCTAGACATTATTCTCCATGTTTGCTTGCAATACGCATACATTTATATTCTGCAGAATGAAAGAATAACTGAGCACCCCCAATAAAACCAATGTAAATGACTTCTACTAATGAATGAAATGTAGAAGATTTCTTTTCCTGAAAATGTTTATTATTTTGATTATGTGAAGGACAAGGAAAGCCATTAAAATACTTGAATAACAACAAGAAAATACAAATGAAAATACATTATTAATAATAATTTTAACTATTTAAAAATATAAACAAATCATTATGATATTTCCACATAAATATAATCTTTAAGTGAAAATGCTAATATAGTGTATGCATCCCATCCTCAATCAAGATTTGATTGCTGTCTTCTGAGAATTTCACTATGCCCAAATGCCACTGGGAGTCTTAGGGGATTAAATCACTGTAAGATACTCACATTTCTGGAAAACCATCACACTGATGTTTGGGAAGAACATATAAATTCACATTTTAAAGAATACTACTGTGGCTAATGAGTACAAGAAATTAGAACTTATGTGAATTTTAATAATAGGCAATACGCATTTGGAGATGTGCTCATCCAGCCCACTGCAGCTTTGACCCCAGCAATATCTTTTTTTTTATCTCATTCCCTTCCTCAACCCTCTCTTTCCACTGTGCCCATAGGAGCCCTTCCAGCCAGTGCTGCTCACTCTGCCCCCTCTGCAGTCCAAGCACACAACATCAGTCTGCATTGGGTGTGGGCTTCTCATGCAGCCTTCGCCACCCCTCATCCCTGACTTCCTTCCCCAAAATAGGGCTGGGTGATAATTCGATAACGATAATTATCACAATATAATTTTCCTCTATATAATTTTAACAAAAGTTCAATAAATGTTCGATATATGTTTATGCTTTGCGCATAATATGCGCATGCGCACAAAATACTGCGCGAGTGCGAGTGCGTGTTGCAGACCAGGCAGCTAACGTGGTGTTATTTACCCACACGGTGGTGGCTGACAGGACTGTAGTTAGAGAGGAGAAATAAGCGACACTGAAGCAAATGTAGTGCTGCCAACAACCAGCTCGAAGGATGATGACATCGTCGACAGAAAAGGTCATTCAACTTTGGTAATTTGGAGATATTTTGGCTTTTTACGATCAGACATAAAACAGAGCACTTAAAACTTTGCAGTCTGTCTGAGCCATCTTCTACAGTATGTGTGTTTTATCACACTGTATTTAATTTTTCTATTAAGATATTTATTTTGTAAATTTTACTCATGCATATTTTGACATAAAAAAGACTTGAATACTCTCTACCTCAGATTTGTTAATGTTTCTGCTGTTTGGCAAGTGTTTGTTGTGTTCTTAAAATAAAGAGTTGTTTAATTTACTAATTAACTGTCTGGTTTCTTCAACTTTCACTCAGGAGAAAAAATCTGCCTTTAAACTTGAAAGAAATAATGATTTGACATTTATCGTGATAATTATCGATATCGACTGATATGAACATTTTTATCATGATAATGTTTTGGGCCATATCGCCCAGCCCTACCCCAAAACATATCGCACATGGACACAGCAGTCACATCTTTTTTCACCAGCCCACCAGATTCCTGCTTCCCTTCAGCGCCTCCACTCCACAGCCCCAGCTAGACTGCATCTATTACACCTTCTCATTGTCTGCTCACCAAGGACTATATCCTTGTTCCTTCATGCATCAAACCCAGACCACAGCATACCGGCCACCCCTCAGCGGCTCCTCTACACAGCCCCTACCTTTATCATGGGCCACCACCCCCCTGCATCAATGGAATCACTACACACCTCTTTCCCTTATTCCGAAAGAGCCTGCCTGCTGCCTGCTTTCCCTGACATCCTTTTCCATTCTGCCCCCTTCTCGTTCAGGATTAGCCCTTTAAGCGTAGCCACCACCACCCCTCACCTCCCCGTATTCTAGTTAAAGGAGTCTGATCATTTTTGACCTCTCCAATTCTTAACTTCCCTGCACCTGGCATTAACAGTTTACTCCCTAGTTTCATCTTTATTTTGCACTATGTTATCATCAACAGCGCTATACCTGATCAAAGCAACAGAACAAACTGCTTAGCTCATGACAACCATCACTAAGGCCTTTAAATGTATGCCTATCGACCCTCACATTCTAGGGACCATCTTTAGTTCTAATGGTTTCACTCTTTGTTGCTACAAGACAAGCTTGGCTTGCTCTTAAACCTCCCCGTCACTAAACAAAGCTACAGTATGTGTATCGTATCTCAGGGACACATCTCTACTACAACCAGCTGCCATAAACAATCCTTTCGAACTGCTCTATTTCTGCTACCTGTTACACTCATCTTAGACTGCAATCCCTTTTGCTACACTACTCTTCAGCTGATCTACCATTATTGATGTTCCTACAGCACATTCTTGCATTAACTAGGCAGGATGTAGCACCATAGGCTTTCTGTCCTTTCCTTGGAAGGGATTGCAGCGTCCCGTTTGCCATGTTTTAATCCATTGAGAGATGGCCCTCTGAAGTTCTGAATCTTACACTAAATCCAAACCCAGTCCAAGCACGCCATATTCCCCAATCAAGGATTCTGCTTCAGTGTTACGGGGTTCTTTTTTGTTCCCTTTTTTTCACTCTCAAGTTATGTCTTTCTGTGGTCGATGTGGAAATGCTACTAAAGGTTCCTCCGGACCTTTCATTTCTCTAAAAGGCATTTGATCTCCTAGCAATATCCTTGTTCATCAACATTAAGGGGTTCCTCTTATTTCTTTTGAGGATTCCAACAATCCGGTCCTCATAGATGGGTAATTTTCCTCATCCAGGTAAGTTACCCCAGTAAAGCCCAGTATTCAAATCACACCTCTTCTCTGTCTTTAACTATCATTCCACCAAACTACTGAAATGTACAGTACTTTTATTTACAGAAACAATTTAAGTGGAGCCTCAGCTACTTACAACAGCTTTGTTGTTCATCCAGCTTAGTTTTGATGAGATCTTTAATTCACATCGATCACTGACTCTTCAAAACTTTGATTGCAACAACTCAAAGTGAACTATCCATGTACATAAAAATGTACAACATGAAATTTTGCAGAAGGTAGTCCATCATATTTACCATCCAGTTGTTTTCAGCAACGTCTTAGCCCAATACTTGGTTGTAGTGAGCCAGAGTGCATGCTGATGACTAGTGGGCACAAAGCAGGGAACACTCAGGACAGAAGACCAGTCCAGTGACGGGCAAACTCACACATAAGTGTAAGCTGTGGGAAGAACTAGGAGTACTGGGTACAAACCCATATAGTCACAGTGAGAAACATAAAATTCCACACAGAAGGCGTCCCAGGCTGGAATTGAATTAAGGACCCAGGGCAATGAGACAGCAATGTCACTGAACTAATCCATTATATATCACTTTACATTTATGGCTTATTAGACATTCCTCATCATTGATATAATTTGTTCCTCCCTACACTTCCATAGGGCTAAAAGGCTACTAATCTATCGATCGAGTCAAAAATACTGATATATCAAATTTACCAGTAAACTTAAAAATGAAATGGCTGAAACGTCAGTAAAAGATAACCGAACACCGTGTTTCTGCAAAAAGAATGCACCATACTAGCTGGAAAGTAGAAATGTGCAAAATAACTCTTGCATAGCAATTGTATGCTTTACTACCTTCACCCTTGGTGACTTTAAATAATTTTACATAAGAAAACACAATACACAACTGCAGTCTGAGATCAATATTTGATGTTTTTTAGTAAATATTCTTCCTTAGTCATTTAATTTGGCATGTTTAACAGTACGTAAATGAGAAAAGTTCAGTCTATCCATAGATTTCCATTTTAATTTCAATTTATTTTAGTTATATGCAAAATCTGGGATGGAAATTGTTTTGTTTTCATTGTTTCAGACAGTGTCAGAAAATATCCTGTACTCCAAATGGATTGAACAGACTGAAGTTCTCCTTCCTCACCCAATCACAAGAATCTTCCATAGGGTAGCCGTAAGATATACTTCTCAGGGAAAGTAGGAAAGTGTAAAACTGAGAGAAATTATTACAGACGCCACAAAGGACAAAAGTAAAGAAGGTATTATAAAAAAAAAATGATACTAGGAAAATAAATTACGCTCCAAAAAACCCTGTAGTACAGCTAAGCAAAATTTACAAATAAGTTGGATGTGGTTTTGAAAATTCTCAATCAAAAGTGATTCTTTAGCAGCTTTAATTATGACTGCTAAACAGAAACAAAATTAACTGTACTGTACTGTATAACTCAAATCTATTGACAGACTATATACAGTATATATTATGGTCAGTGCTCATAATACAATATCATATACTAGATTACCTTCTTCTAGAATGGTGCCCTGTTTATTCGGTTTAGCATCCTTCTTGTGTTGAATTTTGTCTTCCCATCAGAGTTGTCCATTGGAGTGGTATTAGTTAGAATGTACGACACCATTCAAGGAGTTAAACTGAGGCAAAGACACGTGTCCTGCATATTCTTGAAATATACCTAGAATACATGCAGGTTGTGACCCCTTTAGGACTGAGTTGGTCATTAAATACAATAAATCAAGGAACCTTAAAGTAACACGGTAAAAAAAAAACACTCAAATCCACAAAAAAGGAAAAGATAATATCATATTATTCTTGTGAATTCTTACGTAAACCAGAGAATAGCAGTCATTTATATAACAAGTGTTGCACAACTGTAGAATTTCTTTTATACATACCTAAGTAAAGAGAAGAATCTTTTCTTTTGACATGGTCATCCATATAGGAAACACCCAGAGGCTGAACTGATGAGGCCCCGATGCCAACTAAAACTTGAGCTATAACGACCAGCAAGTACAATGTATTTGTTGACCGTGTCTCCTCACAACTCCCTGTTTCAGCATCTTTTTCCACAGCTGATTTGCCAACAGAGCAGGTGTCTCGTGAGGTGGATATTTTCACCTTCTGGTAGTCATACTGATGGCTCACAAACTCAGGCAGCGCACAAAGAAGTGAACCTAGAGCCATAACAATTCCACCACAGCCTATAAGTCTTGGTCTGTGACCCTTTCCACCAAAGTAGCTCACTAAAAGGATCACCAAAAGGTTGCCAATCTCAAACCCACTGGCAATTAAACCAAGCTCCGTGGTCCTCAGACTGAATCTCTTTTCAAGGGTACTTAGCATGCTGATCTGTCAAAAAAATGAAACAAAAACAGAGCTTTCTTAGTTCAGTGAATGTATGTACACGTAAAGGTACTACTACAGTATATCTTTAATATCTTATTTTAAAAATTACTAGAAAATTCTGTTCCACAAGATGCATAGATGCATAATTTTCTTCTACCCTATGCTTTGAAACATAAATAAGGGACTTCATTTCACAGATGTAACCATGAGGTTTCATGTTGTTTTTATCAAAGTACAGTACATTACAATAAATTACAGAGATAAAAA